ACGTCTAGAACACAAGGGGTATATTATATTAGCCATATGCTATTATAATACCCTTTGTGTTCTAGGCGCCACATATAAAAAATTAACAACATTAGAAAAGTTACAATTTTACAATCCTTAGATTGGTTCAAGAACTTAAAAAAAAAATACATGAGTATTATATACCACCATTTGTATGAAAACATAGTACGTCTTCCTCCTACTCCGCTTCGTCGGACTCATCCTCGCTATCCGAATCTAATGTCGTGGTCCGTTTGCTCAAGTTTACGCCCATTAATACATCATCGTACGCCGTGTCGACTTTCTCTTGTTTCATATTTAATACTCCGTTTTCTACATCTTCAGGCTCATCGTTTAACACCTCACCGTCTTCGTCAATATCGTCATCGTCTTCGTCAGTGTCGCAGCTGTTACACAAGTACATTACGAATAATTAGAGTAAACATTTTTGTTTTAAAATAATTATGTCATACGGCTGGGGTCTGTACTAGAACTTTGCACGATGCTTTTGTGGCACGAGGGGAGGGGATAGGAATGGGATTAGAGGTGTATTTGAGTCGGGGTTGAATGATGGCGGATATCGATGAGCAACAATGTTGATAATTGACAAGAAAATCAGCTGATCATAAGACAAATTGAGAACATTGTTTGTCGTTAAAAATATATCCTGAAGGTTAATATTATTAATTATTATTTGATTACTTGGTCAGATCAATGGGTTGTTCTTCTGGACTTGTAGTTTCGACGGTATCTTCTTCTGGACTTACAATTTCGACGGTATCTTCTTCTGGACTTACAATTTCGACGGTATCTTCTTCGGGACTTACAATTTCGACGGTATCTTCTTCGGATTTTTCGGGGTTGGACGTAAAACTATTTGTAAAATTACAAACATCTTATTAGAGTTAATAGACGATTAGTATCACATGAAATTGCATACGCTGTATACAGTCGATATATTTATAGTATCTCCGCGCACCAACGAATTAATTATTATTCATAAAAAACTACTGTTTACCAAATTATATACATATATACTTATAAAATATATAATTTGATTTTCTATCATAGCTTGAATTATGTTTTAATGATTTTTACATTACGAACTATGAATAAAACACTTAAAATAATTTTTTTACTGTACCGACTAAAAACCATGAACTAAAACCAAATTATAATTACACAAGAAAAGTAATATGATATGTTTGTAATATTTCAATTGTTATTAAATTATATTGGTAATTTTCTTCAACATTTTGATAAACTCACCTAGTAGATAGTTGGGTACATATATAATGTTATATCTACTAATACTAGTACCTATGTTTTGCTATAAATTTAAACACTTTTATTTTATAGTTGACATAATTTCTACAATAATAATATTTTTATAATGTACGAGTAATAACTATAATGGATATTTTATTTTAGTACATTATAAAAGTATTTTTTACGATATTGGGTACCACTGGTACTGTAATAATTGTACCCTATGGCACTCAACAAAGGAATGCAAGTAGTGTAAACATTTTTAAGTTACCATAAGATTTGGGTTTCGATTAAGGGGCCATCAAGATGCAATTAGTATGCACCGACGTTTTTATTCAAGTTAGGTCGGATTTTTATTCTAAGGTAACTGTTTTTTGAATTGGTCTTTGAAGGTTTTATAAGGTCTGTTTTTTTTTATTTACTTGTTTTACAATATTAACAATAGCTTGCTGTCTCACTAAGACAATTTTTCCAAACATGTTTATAGCCAATAAGAACTTTGTTGTGTTTCAACAAACACAACAACTTTCATTTGCATGCATTTTTTCAAAAAGAACTCAATCTACATTTTTCCTATTAATTTCTTAGCGTGAGCCGATTGTTTTTGTATTGTAGACAGCTGTTTAATTTTATATTATTATTTATGACTGTACTACACAACGCATGTAAAAATCTACGTAGTTTGTCAAATAACAATTTTATTTTGTTCAAAGACCTTTTTGAGAATTAATTAGAAAATACTATGTACATTTTACAGCCAATTCAAATATAATATAATGTTATGTTTATTTTCCGAGCGCAAACATACTAGGGCACAATATTAGGTGTAAATGTGTAATCGATAAGAAAACAGAATTTAAAACAGTTTAATTGTGTTCAACATATTAAATAGCGATATTACATTGAACCGGACACCGGTTTGGTTTGAGCTCTGGGAGATTTGTATGGAAGCCGTTAGAAGTGCCACATCTCGACTTGTTAATTACTAAATAGTTGTTGGTCTAAAAATTGTTAGGCATATTCACGTATGTGAGCATTTGGTTGAATGTAGAGCAAAAGTGCAATTATGGAAAATTATAAAGGAGAAAAAATTATCAATCAACTCACTTGGGTCGTTTTTTACAATATTTTTTAGAAACCGAATTATTGAAGTTTGATTTTTACTTTTTTTTTTTGTTATATTATATTCTCTATAATTTTGCACTTGTGTCATTGTCAACTTATAGTAAATGTAAGGTGGACACCCCCCCCCCCACTTTTGGAAATTACGCGCAGGGATAATTATATTAATTGATTACCAGTCGGGTTGCACGGTATTGCTGTCTTGGGCGTGGTCCGACTTCTCAACTCTATTTGTATAATTATAATCATCATATTAAGATTAACAGTTTCCTGAAATATAATATTATTAAATATAAAAATATTATAACTCTTAGATTACTTTGCAATTTTTCTCGGCTCCATGTACTCTTCGGCCGCGTCGGAAGAAGAGCGTTTGCATGCCATTTTTTATGTTAGTATTCAAGTTATAAATTACAATAAGTAAAATAATTAAGACACAATATAAATAAATGTTTGTACAAAAAAATTTCAAACACAAATTAATACACAGTAAATAAAAAGAGTTTACAATTGTTTATAGGGTTCATATATAAGATACAACAAAACCAAAATTTAATACACAATTATTACAAATATAGTTTACAATTATAAAGAAATAAAGAGAAACAAAATTGAATAGGTATTTATTATAATATAATGTCTTGGCAACAAATATACTTTTAATATTATGCAATTTCACAATTAGACGTTATTCACACCTGGTTTTACTATCAGCCAGTAATAATAACAACTTTTTTCGCTCCAAACAAAATGTCTTATCTGAAAATCTTACCTTACATGACTATTTTTTTATAAGTCTATTTACTGTGTGACTTGTGTGCTATTTCCATCTTTTTCGCAGTATCTCGTTACTGTTTTGATCTGAATTCAATATCTCACTGTAGTATTTATTTATATCATATTCTGTGCGGTAAATGAAAACCTAATTAGAACTTAATCGGCGCAAAAAGAGTTATTAAAATATCAGTCAAAGAGAAGTCAACGGGGAATTTTAAATAAAGTATTTTCATCCTTAAGCCGACGTTGATATACATTATGATTCATGTATAAATAATACATTACAAATATATATATATAAATCCGATAACTTTCGAAAAGACTTAATCGAACAGCGAATTCAGTGTCACAGTTCACTTTTTTTTTTTTTATAAAAATACAACTGCAGGATATTCAAACAAACTGCATAGCTGTGCGATTTTGTCTACCATGCCATGTTCCATATGTTAGGGAAATATATTTCATTGTATAATATATTATATCACTAGATCTCGCAGATGTCATTTTCGGTAGCAATGATTATGACGTGATATACTATATCAGTTTAACCGCCATAGTGAAATCAGTCTTTGGTGCGCGAGGTCACGGCGTCTAGCCAAAATGGTAATCTAATCATTTTTCAATTACCGTTCTCCTCTCGAACTCGCCCCGAGTCCACTGCAATAACTACCCCTGGGGTTGCCAGTTGTGCTACACGTTGACACGCCTACTTAGGGAGAGACTCCTGACTCGGTGAACACTGCACTTATATGCGATGTCGACGCCCATCTAATTACAATATGTATCCCCAATCGAAGTACCAACTAAATTCGAGAAGGGGAACTAGTGAGTGTGTGCGCGTTCTGAAAGAATTTCTGGACAAATATAATACCAATGACGAGATTCGCCGCTTTTAAGAGCACCGCAAGGTGGATAATAATTTAGTGGTCGCGGTGTTGCATGAATTATAGTCTGCCGGTGTGAGCTGCGTTATTCATTTTTCTTTTTTAACTTCAGCCAAAGGCGGACTCGTGCAATATTAAAACAAACGCGTACGAACCGCACGGTGAACGCGTAAAGCACATTGTAATGGACATTTCAATATTGAATGAGCCTTTACGATATGAACGACAGAAACCCGGAGCTGGCAACGGTATACGCTGTCTTTTGTGTGTATAGAGAGGCCCGGCGGTGGTCATTTGTATGGACGAAAGGGGTTGTGTGTAAATAAAAAACAAACATGAAAAAAGAACAGCCTTTTCCAAAGCTTTCGCCCATTATGTTTGTCTGACACGTCACGGGCAGATAGACAACCCAAGCCAATAAGCCGTCTATTACATCGATTCGATACACGAGCGAAATGTATAAATATTTCATTATTATGTCATCGCGTTATTGTTGAATTATTTGCAACTCGTGGTTGCACGACAGGAAACTCTTCGAACGCCGTCGGAGGCAGGTACCTATATATAGTGTATACTTAAGGAAAACAAATTATGTCGTGACAATAGCCACTTAACGACAATTATTATAAACATAATGCATACGAAACCATCGCTAATGTGATCGGTTAACAGTCTTAACAATCCTACACGGTAAATATATATAAAAAAACTCAACATTGATAATAATTGTTCTTTGAACGTTACAGAACATATGCATATATTTTGTATTGCCCGAGTTTCTTTAGATGTATTCGATCAGATGTACACTAAAAATGTAAACTAATTAAAAGGCTGTTTTATAAACGGTTTACCGAGTCGGATATCATATTTTTTTATTTATTAAAAACGGACCTTTTGCGTTAAACGCGTTATACTAATAAGCAACATTTTTTGTTTTTTGGATTTCAGGCCATATCAGACAGCATGCTCGGGCAGCCACTTCGGGCGCTGATTTTCCTGTTGCTGGTGTACCAGAATGACGGTTACGTCACGTACAGAAGGGCGAAAAGCCAAAAACAGAACATCAGGAGTTACCCGGACGAGGCGAGCAAGGACATTAACATATGCACGTTAGAACAGAAGAACACTATCAATCTGTTTTGCTACTGCGACGAGCCTACGTTTCAGCTGGCCACGATGGCCGACTGTTGGACGTTCAACAACGGCGAACCGCGCGAAGCGTCCATTTGGCGCGAGTTCAAGTCGCAGACGAACTTGACCAAACTCACTTTCAACGTCCGCGGTTCGACCGCCCAGACCCTGTCGTTCGTGCCCACCGAAGCCCTGGCCCAGTTGCCGGAGCTGAGAACGCTGGAAATCGTCTACGCACACATCAAGACGGTACACTCGCACGCGTTCGCCAACCTGTCCCGCCTGCAAGACTTGGCCCTGGGACGCAACCAAATCGAAACGCTGTCCAGGGAGTCCATCGCCCATTTGGACGACCTGCGAGTGGTCACGCTCGGCGACAACTACATTAACTTCATCAACAACGACGTGTTCGCCGGGTTGCCGGTGTTGCGCAAGCTCTACATGGACCGGAACAACATAAGTTACATAGCGGAAGGGGCGTTCGAGCAGCTCAACAAACTCGAGGAGCTGGACCTGTCGGAGAACCTTCTGACCGGCTCGTTGTCGCGTTACGTGTTCCTCGGTTTGATGTCGTTGAAGAGACTGGACATGCGAGCCAACCGCCTCGAGCGCATCGGTCCCGAGGCGTTTGCCGAGCTGGTCAGCCTGGAGGAACTGGTCTTGGAGGACAACACCATAAGGTCGATCGACGGTAAAGGATTCTCGGGGCTGCCCAACTTGGTGCGGTTGACCATTGCGGCCAACAGGTTGAAAATGCTCGACGACCGCACCTTTCATCATCTGGAAAAACTCAGGTTCCTCGACATGAGGTACAACAATCTTCAGACCCTGACCTACGCCACCGTGGAACCCGTTATGGACAGATTTCCCAACATGACAGTCTACATTCATTTGCAAGGTATGTTTCTTATTGAAATCAAATATACCACTTTATATTAGTTAGGTATTATAAAACGTGATAATGCTGACCATTTTGTTGTAATGGAACAAATTATGACTGATTCGGTTTACTTTTGCATTGGAATTGATTGAAAAACAAAAGGAAACAAATGATTTCCCATTAAACAAGTTGTGATAAATAATAGCGTTTTTACCCTTCTCTTCGCGATCAATTATTATGAAGTGCTCGTCCGTCTATCGCGCTAAATATAATATATTATATTCAATTGTTTTCGTCGGAACGAACAATGTACATATTATATATAATATATATACTTCAAGTGGCATATTCCATTATAACAATAATAAACATTTTGGCTTATTATTTTTTATCGTTTTAATAAACTGTCATCAGCTAGCAATAGTGGTTTGTTTCCCACTGCAATATTTCCACGACGATCCACTTACCTTAATTGACCACAAAGCAAATATTATATTGTCCTGGTCTACATCGTATAAAAATGGCGAGTGACCAGACATTTCGTTGTCTGACGACGTATTAATACCGAAAAAGTTACGAAGTTTGGTAAACAAGTATAAAACAGAACACGCAGGGTGATCAGTTTAACGTCAGACAAGCATTTACTTTCTTTTTTTGAAACATTCCAGGCTCTATCAACTTTTGAAACTTACAATGTATATATGCGTTTGATTGACTATGATTCAACTTAAGAATAATTCACTGAAAGTGATGACTCATAGGTAATCTTTTTTTTTATTTTAATAATTGTTTTTATAGTTATTAAAGTTTAAAATTTAATCTTATGCGGTTACAAATGATTCCTGTTGTGACATTTTTTACACTTTGTTAAATGATATGGTACATAAAGTATGGATCTGGCGACTCACTCATTATCTTTATTGATGTAACGAACTCGATACATATTAATAATAGTACGAGTGCGTTACCTGGAATTCGTTTAACGATATAAGTCGGATTAATGTTAAGATTAAATCTAGTTTGTAATGTGCGCCTTTACGCTCATTTTGCGATAATATCATAGTCATCGCGGTAGCCTTATATGCAACCCTCACGGTTACCGTTAAACTTTCCATCCAAACTTTATTTAATCATTCAAACTCTAAATCAAAATTACACACGGCTTATGCTGGAAATCTAATGTAATTATTGAGCTAATGGCATATTACTAATTGAAAATGTTGTTTTCGTGCAATAAAGTTTCAGTCGGCTCAAATGTATATTTCTATAATGTCTTATACAAAAGAGAACTAGTCGCTAGATGTATATTATAATTATTTATTTTTTAACATGAATTTAGACTTTACCAAAAAGATAAACATTTAAGTACAAATGTTCAGTGTTAAATATTAAAACAGGGATAGTTGGCTGTTGAAAGTCAAACATTTTGAACATTAGCAGTAATTATATACAAAATCAAACAATATCAATATGTCTATAATATAGTCACTGACAGTATTGTGTGCATGCAAGTGTACATAATTTATTTATGATATTAACTGCTCGCAATCAGTTTAACCCAATGGGAAAATTAATTAAAGATATACAAATATCCGTCAGATACGCTGGAAATAATTATGCATTGTGTTTAGTCGAAGAAACGTTTAACAACTATTACACAACAACTCGTATTGAAACGAGGGAATATTTCAATTTCGTTTAATTAACACTTTTTTATAGATGTTTTTTTATTATTTTTTTTTTAGAAGGTAGAAATTAAATATTTGAAGGGTTTAACCTGTTTGCTGTAAAACGGTTTAGGACAAAAAAAGGACTTCCACCCTCCGCCGCCGTCACCCTTAAAACGTATAGCAACTATACAGAATATGGTAGTGTTTTTTTTTTTTGTTTTTTTTTTTTTGGTAATTTATGAAAACTCGATTTTTAGTCCGATAAAAAAATAATTTTAAAAGGGACGTGTTTATCCATTACCGTTTGCAAACGTAATCCTTTCTAGAAACTTGATGAATATATGATAATATTAAAATATAATTGCAGTGCGCTCAAATGTAAACCGTCCGTTAAAAGTTACACTAACATAATATTATAACACAATATATAGACACACTTTTGCGCAGAAAAACAATTATTAGGTTTCGGGGATACATTATTAAAAATTATTTTTTTGTTGTTGCCTGACTGAAAATCCATTTGATTGTTATCAATATTGTTATTGTAGTACTTTTAATTGTCTAAAAAAAAAAAAAAAATAACGGTCACGGTCATCCTTTATGAACATGACATAAGCCATATTATTTCGTGGAATTTTTATAAAATATATAATATAGTTATAGTGACCGAATAGCTATAAAGTATTATTTGGCTTATCCATTAGCCATTAGTCGGTATATGAATATCATGATTTTTAATCGGATTTGTTTGTTTTTACTAACAACAGAGGTGTGCACAATTTATGAGACATTTACAAATTTTTTTTCCGAAATGCGTTAATATGAAAGAATAATTTTCAAAAAAAAAACACAAGTTATATAATATGGTATGAATTAATACTTTTCTTGTTTTATGGTTACTTTGTAATTTTTTTTTTCTATTTAGTAATTTTACTTGTATTTAATTATTATTATAGTGAAATACCTTTTATATAGTAGATATAGTGGTTGTACAAAACTCGTCCATTTATTAGTATGAAATATTATCATTATGATTTTGTCAGTAAATAAACTTTTATTCAATCCAATTATGTTGTATTTCCAAAACATTATAGGGTGAAACCGGTAAATTTGGCGACATTAATGTAGTTACATAATATTAGTGCCTAAAAAGTTTAACAAGCTGTGTGAAAAACCATAAGTATAGTTAAAATATTTTTATATTTATACTTTATATATAGACGTTTTTTTGTCTGCAATGAAATACAAACGTCAAACTTTCAAACAGAACTGTTTTTGTACATCACACCTGTGCGCTTTATTATTTTGTTTTACTGGAAAACAATGTTATCAAAAAAGATTTGTTTAACTTCCTTGCCTCGCACGTTTACTTGTTTTAACTTTTAAGTAGAATGTAGATATTGTGCAAATATTTGATTGGATATTATTATGTTTATTATTTAAAATAGTATTTATTACTTAACTTTCTTCTTTTTGTACGGAAATCCATTGATAATGTAACACATATTCGTTTCTAATCTTGTGAATGACCGTTTTGAGTGTAATTCACACAGAAGAAACAGTGTGTGTGTATGTGTACATGTATATTTTTGTCTCTCCCGCTGTTATTCATCTTATAATTTCTCAACAATTATTTATGGAGTGTATAAAGAGAGCAGAGCGCGCAAAGAAAATCATTTGTATTGTAAAAAATCTGGTCTTATTTAAATTCCGAGCAATCCTCTCGGGTTTTTTGAACCGCACTCTAAGGGTGTGTACAAGTACACAGAGAGGACGGGAGAAAGAGAATGAAAGCAAAAAAAAAAGGAGGGGAAATATATATATATATATATAATAGACTATTCTTTTGTGTGATATAATCTTTTAGGAAACGACGTACACACAACTGAAATGGAAAAAAAAAGGAAAGGTTTTTTTTTTTTTTTTACTTTTCATCGCGAAATATCTTTGATTTTTTTTTCTTTTAAAGACAGCCGATTTGGCTGTGATCCCTTCGTTCAACATGTTCGTTTACTTCCGTTTTTTCACCATCCCGCCGCCGGAGTGTATGCCAATGACAGCGGGCGTTGTGTCGTGCAACAAATGAACATACTGATTAGGCGACCTTTTCACCGTGCAAAAACTGTGTGCCGTTTCCGCCAACCCCCCTTGCCCCCGTCGCCGTTCTGCCCTGATCTATATCCTATTTTTTTATATATATATTTATCCTACTAGCAGCACCGTGTATCATTCCTGCGGTCCGCACGAATTCCGAACTTTGGTCACGTTTACCACACACACCGCGTAGTCGCTTGGCATTTTGCCAAAAGAACTACATTTTTTTTGTTTAAACAAAATAACACATTATCTTTATTTCGACGACGGCTCTGTAACAATATAGGCGCCCTTCCCGCGCACCCTTCGAATCGACAGGATCTATATTATGATTATCATAATATTGTTAATGATGAGGCGCGTCTAGTTTCAAAAACCGGCTATAAAAGCAATTTTTGAAAATGTTCACAAACAACAAATCATTTCTGTCAGACGGGCCATTTTGAAACCGACCGAGATTTTCCCAACACAGTTTGGTAAACAATAATAAAAACAGTGAGAAAATACCAGTTTTTATGATTCTCGGTGTAGTTTTCCAAAATCCAAATTTTGTGCACAGCTCAATTCGATGTTCATGTCACAGGAAACGTAAAAAAGGGCTGTTGTTGTGTTTGGTCTGTTGTGATGGAATCATTAATTGCTATTTCGGCGAACTACATAATAATATAGTATTTCCATATCGTTGAACAGTTATTTCATAACACCGGAAGTGATGCTACACGTTTAGTACCTACATCAAATATTTTTTTTAAATATATTATTGGGGTTTGTGTTAAGTAGTTTTAACTACGACCAAAACGATTAAAAGTTTAAGTTAAGTACGTCGGTGTCGAGTGAAGCGCGAATGGTATGCAGTGGTAGGTATTTATCAATGGTTAGGTTAAAAGTAAATCCTCCTAAATTGCATTTCCATGTTTAGTAATGGCTCAACTACAGAAATAAGTGCGTTACCGAAACGCGCGAATGAGTAGTGTTTTAATGACTCGGTGTATTTAAAGCAGTTTAAGCTGGCATTTTGGCTGATCTATACTGAATATAATAACTATTGAAATCATGCAATACTAAATTATTAAACATATTATTGTGTGATTTTGTACTGTTTAAACACTGTGTTTGATTACGTTATTTTTTAATAAATAAAAATGATCAATGCTCTATTTGACGCAGCACTGTAGACAATACATTCGTGTTCATCAATATTCACGGTATAACCTTTATGTATTACAATAATACATAATATTTAATACAAAATAC